CCCGAAACATTAATGGGATGATGCATAAGCCATGGTACTGGCTTTGATTCGATAATATCTATGATTGAGATTCAGATGATAATATTTGTAGATAAACGATTGGAAGCAAAATCGTCGAAGAGAGCGTGGAATACGAAGTAGACATGATAGTTGAAGAAAATTAGTTTTAATTGCAACTTTGGTTTTTGACCTAATAAGAATTTAAAGACATTGTCGATAGTAAAACTGATGTGTACCATTTTAATTGATGTGTAAAATTTAAATGTTTTGATTGGTTTTCCATAATCTGATGTGTCAACTCTATAATTGCAGAAAAATGTGATTTAAATTTAAATGTTTTGATTGGTTTCCCCTAATCTGATGTGTCAACTCTATAATTGCAGAAAAAGGTGATTTGTCAACACATGAAGATGTACTTGTGTCTTTATAGTATTGATTAGAGCATGTACATCCTGTAAATAGGAAAAACATGGTCATTATATGAAAACATACTATTTACCAAATATTAGGGTTACTTTTAGAAATTGAAACAGATCCAGACACTTTAGTAAATATTAATAGTTTCATGACTTTAATAAATAGAGAAAATAGCGGGGAATTTTGGAAAATAGTTAGATATTGGGTACTTCAGTAAATATCAAAAGTTCTGGGTCACTTCCGGGGTTTTGCAATATCAAAAGTTCAGTCCACTTTGGTAAATAGCTTAAATTCAGGGCAATTTAATAAATAATAGAAGTATCGAGAGTTTTTTTTTTAATTAAGAAAGAAAACGGTCCGCAATAGTCAAATTCGGCAAAATGACAAATCAAAATCAACCATAAACCCTAATTTTTCGAATAATGACTCTTTTAACCAAACCTATCCCTGACGGTTACACCGGATTTTCCGGCGACGATCAAGGTCGTCGCTATCCCCAGAAACATCCCATGCTCCACTACTCCAGGCAACCTCAATATCGCCTCACTCGCCGCCTCTAAATCTCCCATATCTCTCTCCAAGTACAGATCCACCACATAATTCCCATTATCCGTCACAGCCGCCGTCTCTCCGCCGCTCTTCATCCTAAGCTTCGCCGTACATCCCGCTTCTCTGAAAAGCTCTTCAAGTTTCCCTCTCGTGAAATCGCAGCAAAACGGCACTACTTCCACCGGTACGGCGAGTCTGCTTCCTCCGATATACTTCACTAGCTTCGATTCGTCGACTATCACAACGAATTTCTTAGATGCTCCTTCTATCATCTTCTCTCTCAACAACGATCCGCCTCTTCCTTTAACCAGATTGAGAGATGGATCGACTTCGTCGGCTCCGTCGATTGATAGATCTACGATTGGGTGTGAATCTAGGTCGGATAATGGTATACCCAGAGAAACCGCTTGTTCGTGCGTCGTGGTTGAAGTTGGGATTCCGATTATATCTCGGAGTTTTCCTTCTCGGAGAAGCTCGCTGATACGATCCACGGCGTGTTTAGCGGTGGAGCCGGTTCCGAGACCGATTACCATACCGGATTCGACGAATTCTACGGCTTTATAGGCGGCGATTCTTTTGAGATCGTCTTGTGTGAGATTGGAAGGAGGCGGCGAGTTGATGACGGTGGAGGAATCGTTGGAGGGATTGAGAAGAGGATCGAAGGTAGAAGCCATTGTTGTTAAGTGTTTGTGATTTTGAATGCACAAATGTGAGTGATAAATGGAGTTTTTAAGGAGGAGAGACTTTACAAAAGACAGAGAATCGTATTCGTTTTTGACGGTTCTTATTTGGAGAAGTAAAAGACCGTTTTTAAAAGGGTTTCAGCCTAATTGTAATCAAATAGATACGGAAATGATATCACAAGTATTTTTATATTGTTAGATAGATTTAAAATAGTACCATGATTTTTTGGTGTTAACATAAATTAGAGGCAATGAGTGAATGTATCATGCCACTTGGAAAAAAATTGAATGGTAGAGAAAAGAGGCATAATTTTATTTTCCGAACGAAAATAATCGGATCTTGATTTTACTTCAAGAGGAGCCAAAAATGATTTTTTTTTTTCTCCAAACAATTAATAATAGAAGATTCAAATTCCAAGACGTTTTTCTATAAGTTCCCAGCATATTCCAATCCCACTATAAGCAGCAGCCTTTATTCCACCATTGGATGTTTATGACGGTAACAGTCTATGGAGGTTCTTTGAATTATCATTATCTACTGAATTTTATAACCAAAACGTCACTGTTCCGTGTATACATATCTTATCTAAAACATGTGAATTCAATGATGTTCTATATAAAGATGATTTTACGCCATGAAACAAGATCATGTTAGTGCACGGTTCATGCCATTTTTGTTACGACCACTAAACTTCTCACACATTGAATTGATCATACAATATAAAAAAATGATTTTCAAGTTGGTCCATTATTCACCAAACACACGCAATTGAAATTCAATGTAACGATCCATCACATTCTTTACAAGAAAGGTTGCATTTTTCTTTAGATTTATGGCATACCTTGGACATTATCAACGGTGAGTTTGAAGAAGATGATAATGTAGAACGTAAGAGACAAAAGCGCAAAGATGTGTTGCCAAAACAGAAGTGCCGAGGCCTCTCTAACCGCGTAACCTCTCAGACTCGCGATGGCTCCAAGTAAAATGGCACTTGGAGTTGAATACTGCAAAAGAAGCACAAACTTCAACATTGGATCTGCTGAGGAAAGTAGACCAAGTTTATCAGCTGACATTACAATCCCTATTCCAACTAAAGGAAGCACCAATAGTCTTGCAACAGTTATCCCGATCGTAGTACGTAACCCGAGAGTTGATTCCTTTGGTCCTTCAGAGAGCATACCACCAAGAACAAGCATAACAGAAGGAACCATCGCGGCTCCCATTATATTCAAACTATCCGTGATGAAAGAAAGTGGAGCATCGTACCCAAAGACAATCTTTTTCAGCTGAGGTACTGATCCAACAACAATCGCTAATAGAGATGCGATTGTTGGAGGTTGGAGTATGTGTTTGACTGGAGTCTGTTCAGCTACAACTCTCATTCTCCGCATTACTCTCGGCTCAGCCAAGCATTGAATAGACCTAGGGCTTGAACTCTCGCCTCCTGTTTCTCCCCCAAGATCAACTTCAGGCAAAGAAGCCTGCGAGTAACTCGAAATGCTGTTAAACACCCTAGCAATGAAAGGTGTTTTGCAATGTTCGGTTTCTTTGTCTTCGATCCCTGGCCATTCAGCTTCCACTAAAAGAGGCCTACTAACATCATGAGCACTCACATTAACCTCCTCTATCTCAACTCCTTCTTCCTCAACAATCTCATAATACTCCAAAGGAGGCTCCATCATGTGATACACAACAGTATACACAAGAATCACAGCGACCCATTGCGCGAACGAGACATACGAAACCCCTCTCGAGTTACAACTCGGTCCAAAAGGGTTGGTCTTCGTGTGACAAACAGAGCTAACAATAGCTAACAAGAGATTCCCAGTGTTTCCAAAAGCAGTCATGACAATAGTGAATCTAGTGAACTCTGGAGGAGGTCGACATATGAGAACGACCAAGTATCCAATAAAGGACCCTATAACCGTACTGAGTAACACATTGACCGGTATAAACCACCAACGAACAATGTTCTCTAGTGTAATGCTTTCTCCAAGCTCAGTAAAGATCAAGCAAGGCAAGAACAGAGCAAACACAAGCTTGCTCAATAACCTAAACGTAGCTCTCGGGACTAATTGAGTTTTAGGATGAGCAAGAAGTAGACCAATCACGGTTAAACAGATAAGCTTCAACAATGGCACAATACCACTGAGAATATCTTGAGCCCTAGAGCTAACATTTTTCCCGGAGAAGAAGAAAGTCGACATCTTTTAACTCACTGTGAAATTCCAGAAGTCAACGGATACAAAAAAAAACACAAGAAGATGGGAATCCAAGCAATTAGATGAGAACCCAAGAACGAATCAGAATCAGAGAATAGAATTGGAACCGGTGAAGATGGTTTGAGAAGGTACAAATGCGATGAGAGAAGAACACCTGGAGCTCACAAGGAACAAGTCATTGAGGAAGACGACAAGATTCACGCCAAATCTATTGATTGCATAATTTGTCTTTTTTGAGAATTCGTCTTCACTAATAAATTTCATAGTTATCATCATCACATCGGGAAGAAGATAATTGCTGTCTGAACGACACATTGGGCTAGCGACAACACAAGACAAAAAAGAATGAAGCCCAATTATAGGCCCATTAATCGGCGATGATCGGTTCAGTACCGGTTTAACGTAAAATCCGAACCGGACGACCAATCCCACAAAAAGGAACAATGGGCTTGAGTTATTGATCAGTAAATCTCACGTGGGAATAGAAAATTAGCTGCCGCAAACCAAGCAAGTCCACGTGGAACCCATTGCAGACTTATTTACACGTGTTCGTATATGACTGGTTAAGGAGATTTAAAAAGCATGTACCGGCGGGTACCGGATCCGAATTTTTTCTGATCCCGGATTCGGATTCGTTTTCTCTGCCCTAAAGAAAAACCCTACGTGAGCAAGCGCCAGTTTTTCTGGGTCCTCCGTAGTTCGAGAAGCTGGAGAGACCTTGGGTTTCGCGGAAATCTAGTTCGGGTCGAGAGTTCGAAGAGTGATTTTGATGATCTTCGTGTTCTTGATGGATTCTCCTTGATCAAATTCGTTGATTTGATCCTTCTCTCTCTCAAGATGTCGAATCACTCCAGAGATGAGCCCAGTACTGCCCCGAAGACAGATCAATGGTATGATCTGGTTTTGGGTTCTTCTGCTAAAGATGATTCCTCCCATAAATTCTGCACTTTGCGATGTGAGTTCCGAATTTCGATTATGTAACCCTTTCGCAATTTTGGGTCGATTCGTCCCAAAATCGTTGTTTGTGATATTAGCTATTAGATTGATTTCACTTTAGGTTTTGATTAGTTATGTAGAATGATTTTGATTACCGGAAAGCAATTAATGTTGAGGGATATATGTACTTGCAGATGAATTCAAGCCGGCTTCTATAGACAAGAGTAGGTCAGGAACTTTGCACAAGAAGAAGGATAATAGAGTTTCAGTTGAGTTTCAAAATAATCAACCTGGTAAACCCAAAGTGACATTTGAAGGTAGTAGTGAGGATTACAAAGAAAACGATGCGGTGTTGTTTTTCGATGGGGAGAAATTCCGTTTGGAGAGGTTGCATAGGGCTGTGAAGCAGCTGCGGCATCTTAGGACACCCGGTGAATCTGCTGCGGCTTCTCAGTCTGCAGTGTCTGTAGAGCATCGGTTATCGCCTGCTGGTCGTGCTGCCAAATCTCCACAAGTGAATAGAAGTTTGCCTCCAGATGTGCCTGTGAGTTTCCAAATATCTTTTGACTAGTCTGTTTTCCTTAAATATTGGTTACTACTTCCCATGATCCAACTATATGGCTCTTGAATGGACAAATTTGATGGTGTTGAGGTTTATAGATCTTGTTGATTGTATAAGTTGTTGCTATTACTTGTTTAATATCTCATTTGCTGTATTATCTTCAGGTTGAGGTTGAAAGAATCGAAATTGGGAAGCCAGAGAACTCAGGTTAGCAGTTTTTCCTGCAATGTACTCATATGATTTAGCATTTTTAGTCCTATCCTATAGCAATATAGTTTTGTTAGAACCGGACTATGATTCTTTGGATCATAAGCGACACTGCATAGAAGGAACAAAACTTAACCTTAACACAAGACAAATTTGTCATAGTTCTCACTACTTCTTAGTCTCTTTCACCATCATTAGCAGTTTGGCATATGCACGTGGTTGGTTCAGTATGGTTTCTATGTACATAGACGTCTGATTTCCAACCTATGACTCCTTATCAAGTATTTTGTATTACTCGGGTTCTTCTGTCATTTCTGATCATGGATTCTCAAATGCCGTTATGACTGTTTGGTTCTGTATTGGTTGGATATCGTCAATAAAGACTTGGCAGGAATATTAAACTGTTGATTCAAGTTTACACTTCCACACTACCTATTCGAAGCATG